TCATAATATACCATTTTTATCTGTATAATATATATATGAGCGATATCTAGTAATATCTGCGTATGATCCGCACACTCAGTGGTTATTACACACAGTAGTTTTTCCAATAATATCTAAAGAGCGAGTATTGTCCGCTTGTATTCCGCTGCTAAAAGTTATTACAGATACAATAATATTCGCCTCGATCATTACAGAGCCGCCATATTAATCACACGGCCGCATGTAATAATCACACAGCCGGCAGTAGTTCTTTTTCGTAAGGGATTCTGTAAAGAAAGTGATACTTAGATAAAACCTGTTTTCAATTGTTCAACTATCGCAAAAATTAAAGTTAAGGATTTAAACATTTTTTCAAATAAAAGATTTTCTAACATTTGTTTGCAATATTTATCCTTAGTGCAAGTCTACTTTTTGTTTATCGAAATAACTTACAAGGAGAACTCTGTAATTTCTTAAGTTATAACTGTATGTTTATAAATGTATAAAAAATTGGATTGTTTACATGAGACTAGAATAGTTGTTGTTTTGTCATTATAGAAAATATAATATTCGTGTGCTATGTAAAACAACAAATAGTATTTGATATTTGTGGGTAGAAAAATGTTTAAAAAAATAGTATAAGCAATAGATATAAATAGTAAATAAAAGAATGAATAATCTTTACCAATATACATATAATTTAGAAAAAATTAAATTATAATTAAATTTACTTAAAGTTAAATAATTAAATATCGAAGAACCTTAAGCATTTATACTATGTTACAATAAACCATATTTTGCTTTTATAGGTAAAGCTTCTGATAATATTGATTAGATTTCTTGATAATATATCATATACACAGTGTTCGGAAAATAGTATCAATAATCAATTGTATCATGAAGTTTTAAAATGGACATGCATTATTGGTGATTTGAAATGCAAAGAATATATTAATGGAATATTAGAGTGGCATTTTAAAAATCCTGCACAAAACAAGTACGTTATTCTACTTTCTCAATAGCAAGATAACGTTCGTTAATGTTACAAAGACGTCGTCTTGCTATTGGACTTATAGTTTCTGTACTTGCGTCTCTGACATGTGATTTATTACATTTTTACGATTAAAAAGTAAATCTAATAGCATTAATGAATTAGTTTGTATGTACTGTTATATAGGGGAGGACCCAGATGCGCACAGAATCAAACGGACACGGCAATAAGAATCGGACACACGACAGACTTAATCAGACACAAAGATTTAACGCTCGTGAAATTGTCAACAGAAATATGTAAGGCCGATACGAGCCATTCGCAGGATGTTTGTGCGGAAACTAAGCGTGTACATATATATATATATATATACATGTAACGAATTATACTTATAAATTTTTTTACAAGTATTTTTTGAATTGAAAATCTCAATTCTTAAAATCATACGGGATGCTAGATTTGCATCTCACATATGAAATACCCCAAATACCCCCCTAACTAATTTTTAAAATATTGCGAAAAAAACCCCTCGGTCTTACCATACTTGTAAAAATTTATAAGTATAGTTCGTTACATGTATATATATATATATATGTACACGCTTAGTTTCCGCACAAACATCCTGCGAATGGCTCGTATCGGCCTTACATATTTCTGTTGTTAATCAGACACAGTCGCAATCGGACACAGTCCCAATCGAACACAGTCGCAAACGGATACACTAGTATTAAATCAAAACTATTCCATTCATATTGCCTCTTTTGTCTGCGTTCCTACAACACGAACAAAAACCACATAAAAGAAACAATCTTGATTTAATACTAGTGCATCCGATGGAAAATGTCTTCGTATTACATTGTCTTATGTCCGATTGAAACTGTGACCAATTGTGACTGTATCCGATTGCGACTGTGTCCGATTAAGATTGTGTTCAATTGCGAGATTGTGTCCTTTTGCAACTGTGTCTGGTTGAGTCTGTCGTGTCCGTTTCTTACTGTGTCTGATTGACACCTTGCCATGTTCGATTGTTTCTGTGCGCATCTTGGACTCACTCGGTATATATGTTTAAGTGAAATAATATAGGTTTCTATTTGCAGACTTTTGCCAAGTTGGCAGAAATGGATATATTGCCAAGGATTAATGTTAGAAACTGTCACTTATGATAAGTCTGCTTTGTGGCAAAAAATTTTTCACATATATCAAACACAAGAAAAAGAAAAAGAATTCTTAGAATTTTTGCCTTGCTCTAGAAAATACGAGGATATGTATAATTTTCTTTATTTTCTTACTCGTAACTTTCTACCAACACCTGGAAGTAGTTTAACTGCAAACACAAATAACACTCGAAATATTATAACTGCAAAGAAAAGTGATACTATTACTGTACTTTTCACTATTTTGTCTTTGCATTCAAAAAATGATTCAGCGCTAAATGAGATAGGATTTGGATTAGAATCTGGAATAGTAAGGTACAAAAAATAAATTTATATGTAGAAGAAGTTTTATACAAAATATTTTATACAAATATGTATTTTACAGTATCTGCATAGTTTGTATATTACCTTTATTTTCGGAACAAACAGTGTTTTGTTACGTTATTTTTTATAATGTTTATTAGTAACGTTACATACTAATTGTACGTTTGTGTTATTTGTTTTGATAGAGACGTGAACATACTACCAATAATAAATTGTATTATTAACAACATATATTCAAACTACGACTTGTCGATGGTATGTTGTATGATTTTACTTAATTCTTGTAAATAAATATGTAAACAGAAGTTTATTTGTTATATGTACAGATATATATTATATACACGAATGTTGTCACTCTGGTAAAGATACATAAAATTTTGCTGTGACCTGTATCCGTAATTGTTTGAAATATATCAAACAAACTTTTTAATATATAATATTGATTGTGGTTACACAATGTAAATTAATCGCACTAAGTGATAAGAGCACTTTATTGTTTCAGATTACTAACGAAATGTTCTTACAGAAAGTGGTGCATATATACATGATAAAGGTACTTGTAAATTCTTTAAATTATTACTTTACTTATTAGTGTGGAATTGTGCGTTACATTTTCTGTTTTGTTTTTAGATATAGTCTTTGTTTATGTGTACACTGTTAGTTTTTTTATTATTTTCAATTAAAAGTATATTTTGTATATTGTCTTAATCAATGTTATTCACAAGTATACAGGATGTTATTTGAAATACTTTTTGTAATCTGTTTTAGGAACCATATGTTCTCGATGCTATTAAAGAAAAAGTTGAATATCGTCGTAATTTCTTAAGTAAAATACAAACATCAATCAGTTATAGACTCCAGTATGTTTTTAATTACAAACACATGAAAATATAAAGTTTTTTTTGTGTTGTTTTGTACGTAAACAAAAGATTTTAGTTAAAAGAATTTACCAGTTAAATGTATCTTCAATTGTAAGTTTCTTTTGTTTAAATAAGTTATAATTTATGATAACATAACTTGCTGATTATGATTAAAAGCGGAAATACATTTTTTGGATTTTAATATGTAATAAGGAGGTACTCATAAAATGAATACGTTTCGTCATTAAGATGTAATACTTATATACACGCCATTGACTATGTATATGTATATTTATGTACAGCACACACATAAATATGTGAATATACACATTGCTAACTAAACGCACAGTATCTAAGTATAGAAGTCACTGACAGTAAGAGAAAAATTTATTTTATGTAATATCGTTCAATGTTATGCAAATATAAATATAAAGTTACTTAATAAGTAGTATTTACAAACTGTTAAGTGATAATAATTTATTATGTTTGTTTTAAAAAAAGATAGTTATTAAAGAAGATAAAAGAAAAATATTATTTGCATTAGATGTTTTGTATTACTTTTAACATTTCCGTAATTGTTTTGACTATGCAATTAGGTTCAATAAAATTACGTGTGAACACATATATCATGCATTTGCGTCTCACATTGCGTTTGCGTTCTGCCGATTTCCTTCATATAAGTATCAAGTAGAAGCAAACATGTGATTATGTTCCTCTGAATAGGTTCCTTATGTATGCAAAGTTTATCAAAGAAAGGCCAGAAAATGACTCTTTTATTGTACTTTCTGCGACCCACAAAACGGATTGTAGCAGAACGCATAAATAAAAAAGAATCACTCAAAGATTTCCACTCTTATATCTTAGTCTGGAAAGTGCTAAATCGTGGATATACTTATGTGTTATGCAGTATGCAAAAGTATGTAGCTTCAGCTTTTACGATTATGTCACATTTGAAAGATTGAGTATTCAGAAAACAAAGTAACACTATCTAATCCAAGTTATATGATAAGAGCGATTTTTTTTACGCGTAAGCAACCGACAAAAGTACTTAACAACGGAAGACACTTTATGTTTAATGTACAAATAATAAACATTAACAATGTAAAACGAAGATATACTACCTTTTCACAATGTGTTAGCATATTTGATGTAACATTGTCTTTGTTGTTCTTTGCACAAAGCTCTTTTTCTTAGTTCAACCTGGTCACTTCGCTTCTTTTTCATAATTTAATATTTCTGCCAGACTTGTGTGAAATATTTTAGAATGTATGTTGTATGTGTGTGTTGATTTGCGCAATCTTACTGGTATAATATATACAAACCGAATTTCTTAATTTGTATATTTTGATAGATAGTATATTTATTTTATTATATACCTCATACATTGCTACTCAATCTACCAAAGAAGGGCGGAATAATGGCGGTGTTTTACTTTAAGATTCTGATAGTAAAACAGTTCTGAACGAAATACTGCAGCGTGTACTAATTTCTAGAGTATTAAGTTGAGTTTAATTGACAACAACACAGTTTAATCGATGATGTAACCAACAGAATATAAAGGTAATAAGAAGAAACACCAGAATAAAGTACCATGAAAATAAACTTTGTTTAAATAAAACGATTACAACAAAATACATATGTACTTAAGAAATGGTCTCGCGCAATACGTTAAGACTAGGTAAATCAAGTGATAATTGTGTGTATGTGTGTTGTGTGTATGGATAGTTTTGTTATTCAGTTTCAATGGAACAGGTGAGACTTACGAGAAATGGCATCCAACGTTAAAGTTCTTATAAAAAACGATAGAGTCTTAAAAACGACAGGTGTGTTGCAAAATCACAAGAGTTCAATATATTGACGCTAAAGTTTTTATGTACAAAGTTTCCCGAGCGGTATGCCGAATCAGACTTCGTTCAAAATTGCTGTATTGTAGTCGTAGGCAAATTTCATACAGTCATCCGATAGCTCACGCGACTTCTTATCAACGGTCTTGTCAACAGGTGATCGCATGCTGCCGTTTGCAAATATTATTCTGCATATTCAAAGGAGTCACACGATTTTCAATATAACGCGACTTATTGCTTTCAAGTATGAGAATTCGCTCGATGATCGAAATAGTTTCCGATAGCACACGGATATTTTAGCGCTAATCGCGTTTCGATAAATTTTGTATTTTAAACAAGTAATGTAGCATCTCTCGCTCTGATAGCACCTTGTATCGTCTGTCCTTCTAAGTGATCTTCCTATAGCTTTTCGAGAGAGAGAGAAAGAGAGAGAGAAAAAAAGAGAGTCAAATCGTGGAGCTTTTCGATAACCACGATCAAAGTTTTGCGATATTTTAAGTACTTTTTGGACAAACCTTTAGAATCAACACTCTCAGATAGACTTTTCTTTCAGCCGTCACAAAATTCAGTAAAGAAACAATAAAATTTTTTTGTAATATAAATTTTGTTGGAAATAACACAAGTGTTTTCATTTTGCTTCGGAACGTGATAAAACAAATATACGCAATATAAACAAGTTATTTAGCGCTTTTATGTACTTGATCATAAAGTTACGATTGCGTTTGATTGTCTACATTTGAAATGTGTTCTATTGAATCTTACATTTAAAGGGCCTTCTACAATGAGATATTAGTAATAAATCAGAAGTCAGAAGCAAAAAATTGACCAATCACAGTCAAATCACAGAAGAATAATCGATTGTGATTAGTCAATTTCTTGCTTCTGACTTCTAATGTATTACTATTATCTTATTGTAGAAGGCCCTTAAGAGCACATCAACGAGATTTTAGAGAGAAAGAAAACATATATTGAGAAAGAAAACATGTTGAAGAGAGAAAAGCTATCCGAAACTACACGCACGCACTGAACGTGACGTCATCAATCGGCGTCAAATTTCTGTGTTCCAAGCACACATTTCTGTTTTAAATACACAAAACTTCGACCATTATTGTAAGTAATTACACACTTGTATAATTACTTAATACACTTGATTAGGATTCATTCTTTTGTTAATTTAATCGCTTTAGATAATCGATAAAGATTGAATTCTTTTCGGACGAAACATTTTGTAATTCAATCCAATCAAAGAAACCAAGTTTTTACACACGATCACCTGTGAACGTTATCTCACTGGCCTGTGTTTTCTTGTACTTGAAATGAAATAAAAAGTTCTGTATATATTAAATTGTATTCTTATATGAATTTGTACGTTTAAACCGTGAAATATATTTAAAACCGTTATTTCTATCATCATATATGTTCGTCGAAGAAATGAAAATAAGGTCGTTTTTCTCACCTCAGATGTTTACATCGCAACATGTAGATAGTATTTCACAGAACGATCGTTTCTTAGTTTTCGATGATTTCTCGAAGAGTGAAGATCGCGCAAACGATACGTTTTTGATTTTACTAGGAGTTCACAATATTATTCATGCAAGATTTCTGTCTTAATGCATTGAATTCTATTATATAGAAGATGGTAAGTCCTTATTTTTTTATATTATTTTTCGAAAAATTTCAATTGGTTTAAAATATTATTTCTTTCTGTGTGTTTCTAACTGTATGCGAATATATGACAGTAAATAACATAAGTCATAAATTTCTTATCTCAAAAGTGTATTATACTGTGTTTGTGATATAAAAGTAGCAATTACTAAAACTTTACGGTCTATTATTTTTAAAATATGATAAATACTACATACACTATTCATACGATTGCTTACGAAATTTTTTGTGTAATGTTGGAATACACAAATTATAATTTAAAACGCGCTTACAACTGAAGTAAACAGTTTTATCGATTAAATTTTTCTAATTTTGTTTAGTAAAATAATATCAAATTTTGTGAAAAATGTGTAGTATACAATTAAGTTTTTTCTTTGTGTTCTTTATGCTTTATTGTGTTAATCGTTTTTTTTTGTATGTCGGATTGGGAACACGACAATCGTGGCAAATATTGTGATGTGTACGTGTAATAGAGACAAGTGTCATTATAGATTATAATTAAACATATTTATATACCGGTCACACACATCAATAATTGATGTTTTTGTATTTGATACTGTAAAAGTGTAGTATTTTATAATAGTTTTATAATAATTTTGTAAAAGTTGAGTTTTAATATGTTTTTGTTTTTTTTGTTTAACAAGCAAATTAATTTTGTATTAACTTATTACTCAGATATTTATATTCTTCGGAACAATAAGCTTAATGTTTGTCACCGGAGTTGCTTCTTTCTCTGATGAGAATTTGTTTCGGACATCGCAATGTATGCAACCGATAAATTTATACTATTTCTTAAGAAAAACAAAACACTTTTCTTCCCGTCAATTCTACTGCTGTGCTAAATATTCAGAAAAAAGGTAATAGAATCGAGACACATTTGTCACAATATTTGCGATATTTTCTTTTACGCATAAACAATGAATATGTACTCGTACTACTTCACAAATGTTCTCGCGCCATACGTAAGGACAAGATAACTCAAGTAAAACCTGAATAATTTTGTTATTAAGTTTTAATGGAAAATGAGTAAGAAATTCGAAAATTGCCGTACGAAAACAAATCTTTAAAGGATGATAAGTTTCCAAGAACGACAGGTGTGTTGCAGACTCGCGAGACGATAGCGTCAATATATTGACGCTATAATTTTTATATACGGAGTTTCCGGCGCGATATGCCGAATCGGAATTTGTTCAAAATTGCTGTATTGTAAGTCGCAGCCAGATTCCATACGGCAGTCAGGCGATGAATCACGCGACTTTGTATTAACGGCTTTGTTACCAGCTGATCACACTCAGCCGTTCGCAAATATTATTCCGCCTATTCAAAGCAGTCACACGATTTCTAATTTCACGAGACTTATTGCTCGCAAGGAAAAGAAATTTGTTTGACGACCGAGCGAATCTCCGATAGCACGCGGATATTTTGGAGCTAAGCGCATTCCCAGTCTCTGTATTTTAAACAAGTACTTTAGCGCTCCGATAGCACTCCGTACCGTCTGTTCTTTTGTGGTAATCTTCCTATAGCTTCTTAAGAGTCGAATCGTGGGGCAAGTGCTCTTCGATAGCCACGATCGAATTTTCGCGACAAATAAATCGCTCAATAGCTTCTGGACGGACCTTTCGAGTCAACACTCTTCGATAGCAATTCTTTTTCAGCCGTTACAAACTTCATTCAAGGTTACAATAATATTTCTTTGCAATACTGTTTTTGTGTTGAAACTAACAGAAGTCTTTATTTTTCTTCGAGGTGTGTCAAAACAAATATACGCAATATAAACGAGTTATTAAGCGCGCGCGAATAATTTCATGTGCTTGACTACAAAGCCTCGAATACATTTGACTGTCTACATTTGAAATATGTTCTATTGAATCTTAGATTTTAGAGCACATTGGCGAGATTATAGAGAGAGAAAGAGAACATATATGTTGAAGAAAAAAGCTATCCAAAACTACACGCTCGCAGTGAACGTGACGTCATCAATCGGCGTCAAAAATTTCTGTGTTCAAAACAGAAAACATTTCTAAACTTAGTCAATAAACCCATTTCTGTTTTAAACACAAAAAAATTCGACCATTATTGTAGGTAATTACACACTTGTATACTTACATAATTCACTTGATTAGAACTCATTAATTTGTTAAATTAATTTAACACCTTACTTTAGACAATCGATAAAGACCGAATCTCACGGACGAAACATTTTGTAATTTAATCACACTGAATAAACCACATGTTTATACATATAATCAACTGTGAACATGTTCCCACTGTTTCTTCTTGTACTTAAGATGAAATAAAACATTTTGTATACGTAAAATTACATTATTATATAAACTTGTAACGTTTAAACCGTGAAAAACATTTAAAACCATTATTTCTATCATCATATATGTACGTAGAAGAAAACAAAATAAGGTTGTTTTTCCCACCTTAGATGTTTACATCGTAACATGTAGATATTATTTCACAGGAACGATCGTTTCTTAGTTTTCGAGGATTTCTCGAAGAGTTAAGATCGCGCAAATGATACGTTTTTGATCTTGTGTACTAGTAGTTCGCAATAATATTCATACGCGAGATTTATGTTTTAATGCATTGGATTTCACTATATATAGAAGATGGTAAGACTTTATTGTTTTATGTTGCTTTTTGGGAAACTTCAATTGTTAAAACATATTATTTCTTTCTATGTTTCTAACTGTATGCAAATATTGAACAGTAAATATCATAAGTCACAGATTTATTATTTCGAGAGCGTATTATACTGGTTTTGCAATATAAAAGCAGCAAAGCAATTACTAAAATGCTCCGCTCTATCATCTTTAAAATGTAGTAAATAATACATAAAATATTCATACAATTTATAAAAACAATTTTTGTTTACTATTGTAATACACAGATTATAATTTAAAACGCTCTAAAAACTAAACAAATTACACTGAACAACTAAAACAGTAAACATTTTTTTTGATCACATTTTTCTAAGTTTGTTTGTCGCAATAAGATTGAATTTTGTGGAAAACGCGTGAAGTATACAATTAATCTTTATACTTGTGTTCCTTATACTTTGTTTTCTTAATCGTCCTTGTGTATGTCGGAATGGGAACATTACACTCGTGACACATAGTGTGATGAGTATGCGTGATAGAAATAAGATTTTATGCCACAAAAACGATCGGTTCTTAGTTTTCGAAGATTTTTTGAAGAGTGAAGATCGCGCTAATGTTACGTTTTCGATTTTGTGTACTAGTAGTTCGCAATAATATTCATACGAAATTTATGTCTTATGCATTGAATTTCACTATACAAAAGATAGTAAGTTTTTTTTTTTATATTGTTATTTGGAAAATTGCACTTCTTGTTGCACTATTAAAAAATATTATTTCTTTCTGTGTCTCTAATCGTATGCAAATATCGGTCAGTTAAATATAAAAAATCATAGATTTAATAATATCTCACAAGCGCATTATATTGTTTGGGTGATATAGAAGCATGGAAGCAAGTAGTTCTTCTCTTTAAAATGAATACTACATACAATATTCAGACGATTTCTTAAAAATGTTTTGTTAATGTTTGCAAAAGTCTGTTGTTTTATAAGAAATGTTTGCGTGAAAGTTTCGTTTTAATGTGTATCAATATTTCTTGTTTAACAAGCAAAATAATTTTGTAGATACGCATTATGCAGATGCTTATAGTCTTCGGAGCAATATGCTTAATATCTGTCACTGGAGTTGCTTCTTCCACTGACGCAAATTTGCCTCGGACATCGCAGTGTATACAACCGATAAATTATACTATTTCTTTAGAAAGACAAAACACCTCTTTTACCATTCATTCTACCGTTGTGCTAAACGTGTCATGTGAACAAAAAGACATACGATTACAAATCGGACGTTATTGTTCTATACATACTCTGTTTGTTGAAACTGAAATTCTGTATGACTATATATCACATTGGGAAGTTACTGTATCAGAGGTAACTACTAACAAAAATCGATTCAAAAATGTGGATATTAATCCCATAAAACGAAACAAAATTCCTCCAAACGTGTTTATACTTAAACAACTGGAAAAACCCGTAAGATCTGGAAAATATGTGATAACTTCGATGTATAAATGTAATTTAACGGAGGTCGTCACGGTTGACCCGTACATTAGTCAAACTGGAACGAAAGAGTAAGTGCACATACAAAGCTATTATACTACATACTATTAGTTTTATACTTTTGAAATTATTATACTACAATGACAATTATAGGCAAAATTTATTTCTACAAAACATTTTCAAAATATTATTTAACAGATATTTTTCCTTTTAAATATTGCTACATACAGTTTTTTAAGTTACATGACATAATACTACTATTTTATAGAATGACGTTTACAGTTAGTAATTTTATAAAGTCATGTTATAATACATTTAAAAAATAAACATTTTTATGAAACTCGTCTTTATTTCAAAATAGACTTTTATTCTAGTAGGTCTACATTTGTTCTCTTTAAATATGATTAAGAAAGGTTTACTACTAAAACAACACTTTAAGTAACGTAATATATTTATTATATACTGTACTTATGTATCGCAATATTTTTGTTTTATTATGTAGATTTTTAATTTTATCACGTATTCCAAATGAATTGATTTTTCCATATTGGGAACATCCAGCTACCAAGGCTAGATTTACCATTCAACTTATACACAAACGCAGTGAAACAGTTCTTTCGAACATGTTTATTGACTATTCTATTTCGGTAATTAATGCGATCCAAACAACATTTTTCACCACGCCTCTAATATCCACGCATTTTGTTGCATTTGTTGTCATACCGAATGTATTAAAAGTGACACTTACTAGAATGGGAAATAACATTACTATTACACGCAACTTAAAGATGAGAAATGACACATACTATGCAAAAACTGTTCTTCTTGATATCTTCATAAGTCTCAGAAACATGTGGAACGATAGCATACCACGGTCGCATGTTAATTACGTGCTACTGCCTTTCACCTCTACTCGTTACGAAAGTATGATAACCCCTGGATTTGTTTTTTTGAGGTGAGATGCATAACTCACGATACAAATTTGAACTTATAGAAAACTTTCTAACAGTACGAGAAGAATGTACTTTCAGTAACATCTATTTTTATTTTCAGTGAAGTTAACAGTATATACAACAGCAAAGTAGATTCCCTTATTAAAAGACGAGAAGTAACATGTTTCATAGCACGAAATGTGATACAAGAAATGTTCAGTGAGTGGGTAGCTGCATTTAGACAATCGGATTCTTGGTTTATCGAAGGATTTTCAACAGTATTTGGAGTTTATATTTGGAACAAGGTTAATATTGTGCAGTTTTATTATAGATAATTGTGCATAAATATAAATGTGAGAAGTAAAAAAAAGTATTATACATTTTTTTTAATTAAAATGTGTCATATTGTTAGACGTAGTTTGAGACAGTTTCTGTAACAGTAGTATTATTTATAGTTGTTTTACTTATATTGAAGATATACGCAGTTGAATATATTAGAAAAGCATATAAACAGATGATTATGTGAATGTGTAGGAAATACCATACATATATATTTTCTTGATTATTGTGTTATTACTAATTTTGTTTATTTGTTTTATTTGTTTAATGAAAAATAACATTGCGATTTATATGAAAACTTTAATACATTATTATAGTAGATACTTACGCACTATACTTACATAATTATTAAAACTGTTGATAGAGTTCAATGAAGTCAATTGTGGTCCAGACACGACGAAACTTTTTGAATTATGCAGAAGCATTTAGTACGTATGATTTTGGAATTCTAGAAAAATCGTTTACAGCTTTAAATTCAACACTTAGAAAAATGTGGCGACAAAAAGGTAAGAGAAATAAATTTCTTGAATACAACTAATTAATGAACGTCACGTTCACAAAATAATAGACAAAGCACTATGAGATAGTGGTATATATTTCTACAATGTATTAGAAATAGTATGCAAATGGTCAGTTGTATTTCTATCTTATATATTGTAGGCGAACATTTTCAAACATCGATATAAAAGTACATTTACACTTTTTTCTTTGTGTTTAAAAAAGTAACAGTGTGTTATGTAGTTATTACTTACTACTACATATTATTCATTACTATACATACTTGTGTTAATAAACTGTGAAAACTTTACCACTATAAACTTTGTTGTAGCATTCAGCACCTTTTATATGCTCGGTACCTTATTTGAACAAGATTTCTTATATACTTCTATGTTTAAACAGGCCGTAAACTTATATTATAACACGTAAGTATTTACCAATCATTGGAGTACAAAGTAGTGCGACATTTTTTAGTTAAACAATTTTTTCATTACTCGTAAAGTCATTATAACAATCATTAAATATTTTTTTTTGAGATTTACTTCAAGCATTACGTTTATGTTTCGTATTACGATATTTGTTGTCAGTGAGAATACCACAGATAATATACATAATGAACAGCCAATTTTTGATAAGTTGTGGGACGAAAATTATGAAGCATCTATCTTATATAACTCTGTCTACCTTACGACAGAGATAAAAAAAATAATAACTTCATGGACAACACAAGTTGGTTATCCTGTGTTACAAATAAACCGACACAATGATACACAGNTAGTAATGTCTGTCATAGACTGTTTTACCGTTGATAACAAAAAGCAGTGCGAACTTAATTGGTGGATACCTGTGTCTGTTACAAAAATAGTACAGAGAGAAAGTACTGTTACGTATAATGATATTTTAACACCTTACAAAAAATATATCCATTCATCGCTGAGTAATAAAAATGAGTTTGTCATTGTCGCGAACTCCGCTGGTAATGTAATAACATACATGCGAATTATCACGTATCTCTTTATTATACATATAGTGTATTAAAAATATTCACTATTTTTGTAGAGTAATTGTTTCTTTTCCTTTGTTTCTCACTATCAGTATTTCTAAACCTTTATTTTTTGTAGGTTATCGCGTCAACTATGACAGTGATTCTTGGACAAACATTGCTTTTTCCTTACAATCTGGTGATCTAAAGATTACAGATTTAAATGATGTCACTGTAGCACAAATATTAGACGATGCTTTTTATTTTTTGGTGCAAAATACAGAATATAACGACAATTCTACTTCAGATAATAGTGATTTCAAGATATATTTCATATATCTTGAAATTGCAAGTAGTATATTTAATGCAAACAATTCCTACATAATGTGGTATCCTATATTTTTTGCTCTTGAAAACATGTCAAAGATTGTTCCGTTTCCAGAAAGTGTTGCTTCCAGAACTATCAAGGTACATAGTATTACAGTACTTTAAGAAATTAAATAATTGATAGATCATCATTAATCAATTTTTAAAAAGTTTATTAACTTACTTATAAAATATATATACTACGGATCGTTTATATAAATAATTCGCATTAGTGCTACTTTAGTCGATAACATAAAAAATATATATTCTACAGTAATTATACTTAAATAATATGTAGTAGAATCTACCTACATAATAAAAAATAACTACCACGTTGTAATATCTACTAGATTGACCATACAACATTGTACACATAAAAAACTGACTTCACACAAGCGCAGTATTATAGTTCAAAAAATGACATATACAATATTAACCCTTTGCACTCGAGGCCGTTTCCGCGCGGACCTACCAGCAACTCGAGACGTTTCGTAGCGCTTTTCGTGACTTTACTACCGCTAACATAAAATGATTACACACGCAAAGTAACATACAAAACTTTTATATTTTAATACTTAAAGTTACCGCAGCGTACGCAGTGGTGAGCGACAGTCACCTCTCGAGTTGCGGCATAAAATCGCGTGGTGAGTGAGACTCACCTCTCGAGTGCAAAGGGTTAATAAGTGCTCACCAATATTCACACTTCATGTAAAAGTAGCTCACAAAAGTCAAATAATATCAATATAGTACAGAAATATGCAAGTAGTCACAAAATTATTAATTTAATATCGTTTTCACCGTTTGTTCTCGTAAATCACACATCTGATAAAATGCATGAATAAATGGAATTCTTGTTTAATGAACGACAAAATCTCCACTTTTGGTATACGGTACTTTTAGGTAGAAGTATGTCCAATCAAAAGACCATTGCATAAAGCTGCAAAATAAAAAAAAATCAGTAAAGGTTTCAAAGAAGTAATTCTTTACTTAAAACTTGCACATTGTAATTTGTCAAAATATCGCAAAGAAAGTAAATTTAAAGATTTACAAGTTTCTTCGAATAATAAAATATTGCTAACATTGGTTGCAATTTATATTCTTAGTTCTCAGTGTACTTTTTGTCCATAAATAACCTACAAAGAAAGCTCTGTAATTTCTTGAATTACAACTGTATNTTTATACATGTATATAAAAATGTATTGGGTACATGAAAGTAGATTATTTGTCGTTTTGACACAGAATATGATACAGTTCAGAGAATATAATCTACGTGTGTTATGTAGAACAACAAATAGTATTTTATATTTGTGGGTAAACAGATGTTTTTAAAACAAGTATAAGCAATAGATAGAGATAGAAAATGAAAGAAGAATTCTGTAATCTGTACGAACATAAATATAATTTAAAAACAAATAAACACGGATGTTATATAATAATATGTGTGTCAAAAATAGTATAAAATAAAATTTCTTAGATATGAAGCAATAAGAAATACAAAATTATCGTTAAATATTTAAATATTAAGAAACCTTAGGCATTTACACAAGATATGTTACTAAACATATCTTGCTTTTATAGGATAAACTTCGAGCAATATTGAATAGGTTTCTTAATGATGAATCACATACACATTGGTCGGAGAATAGTGTCAGTAATCAATTCTATCATGAAGTTTTAAAATGGACATGCATTTTCGGTGGTTCAATGTGCAAAGAACATGTTAATCGAACGTTAGAGTGGCATTTTTATAATCCTGCGCAAAACAGGTTAATTTATTTTACTTTCTTAATGGCAAGGTGACGTCCGTATATGTTACAAAAACGTCTTCTTGCTACTGACTTTATATTTTATTAATAGTGTTATATATGTTTTAGTGAAATAATATGGTTTTTTACTTGCAGACTGTTGCCAAGTTGGCAGAAATGGATATATTGCCAAGGATTAATGTTAGAAACTGTCCCTTATAATAAATCTGCTTTGTGGCAAAACATTTTCAACATATACCAGACACAAGGAAAAGAAGAAGATTTCTTTGAATTTTTACCTTGCTGTAAAAAATACGAGTATATGTATAATTTGATGTCTTTTCTTGATCGTAATTCGCAAGGTTGGGTAAGTTAAATTTTTTTTTTAGTTAAGTTAAGTTACAGTTAAAGGTTTAAAAAATTTTATTTAGTTAAGATATAAGTTAATCCATAATGGCATTAATTGATTAAAAGTTAAGTTAATAAAAAAAAAATTAACAAGTTAAAAGTTACATTTTTTTTCATGATTTTAGTTATTTAGTCTTACAAATAATTACAAACATTTACAGTGTTTTAATCTTACATATAATGAAAAAAATGCTATATTTCACGTCACGTGTATTATAGTTTTTGGTAATCAAAGTAGGATTTTGGAACATACCCCTGCTGTTGTCAGCTGTTGCGCGCATCCCCTTTTTTGCTGCAGCATGCTATGAACATTCCGTTTTTTTAACATATGCGCACATGATCTATATACTATACGTAATGTTTACTATGGACAAATGCGCGTATATGAAACGGAACGCATCTTATAAACGTCTTACAATCGTAAACACTGACGATTACGTGAATTGCGTTGGATTTTACGACCAGCGTTTATTGGCTCAATTCTCAAACACGTACGAATTTATTTGCATATAAAACGAATCATTCTGAGCTTTGTGATTGGTCGAATTTTTCGGCCTATAAACATGTAAAATTAATTATGATCATACGACGAAATATGTTCCGTTTTGTATGCAAACAAATAAAAATTCTTATGGCTATAGTAGATTCAAGAGAGTTGAAATAAAAAGTTACTAGTTACCGATAAAATATAACTAAATAAAGTTAAAAGATAAGAGTCTAAAAATGTAACTAGATAAAGTTAAACTTATTTAACTTTTTAACTTTTTAACTTAACTTTTATCTTTTTAACTAGACACTACCCAACCTTGGTAATTCGGTACCAAGACCTGGAAATAGTTTACGTGCCAAAACTGGTAACAGTGAAAATATTGTAAATGCAAAGAAAAGTGTTACTGTTTCTTTACTTTTCACTATTTTTGCTTTGCATTCGAAAAATTATTCAGGGCTAGCTAGTATACAATTCGGACTAGAACTTGGAATAGGAAGGTAAACAGGTTGTAAATATGTATAAAAAGTTTCATACAGTATAACAGTTCATACAAATATTCATACAATATATTTCATACGAATAGTTACTTTACATAATGTGCATATTTTTTACATTACTTTTTATGTTTTGGATCAAACATTGTTGTCTCACATTATTTTGTATAACATATTAGTAAGTTTTGATATTACTTATACATCTTTTATTTTGTTTTCATAGAGACGTGAACATACTAGCAATACTAAATTGTATTATTAACAACATATATTCCGACGACGACCTGTCGATGGTATGATGTATGATCTTACTTATTTCTTGTAGATAAATATGTAAAACCAAATTTTTTTATATTATATACATGTATATATACGTATGTATTTATACGGGTAACAATGTGTCTGTTGTGGATTTTATATTCGTAATTCCTGTGATATAAAAAACAAATAACTAATATGTAATAAGTGAATGTTGTTACACAATATAAGTAAATCACACTAAGTGAGCACATGATTTTTTCAGATTAGTAACGAAGTATTCTTAAATAAACTGTCGGATATACATTACATGGTAAATGTATTTATAAATTATATAACGTATTATTTTAATTTAAAACATTAAAATCGAAGACACTATATATAAAATATTTTTATATTTAATATTTTTTTGGAAGTGTGCGTTTCATTTTCTGTTTTTTTTTCAGATATAGCCTATTGTATATATGTAAACTAGTAGTTTTTTTATCATTTTTATTAGAAATATAGTTTTGTGTAGATCTTAATCAAAATTATGCACAAGTACATATAATTTTATACTAAACTACATTTTGTAATCTGTTTTAGGATCCACGTGTTCTCGATGTCATTAAAAAAAAAGTTGAAAATCGTCGTAGTTTCTTAAATGAAATGCAAGCTATAATTCTTTCTAGACCCCAGTATGTTTTTAATTACAAACATATGAGAAAATAAATTTTCTTTTAATGATGTGTCTTTTTTGCATGTAAGCAAATGATTTTTGTTAAAAGAATTTACTATATATATAAGTAGTTGTATTCACTTTTTTAAAAAAGTTTTAATTTATGATATCAAAACCTGCTGATTATAATTAAAATGAAAACGACATATACTTTTCGGAGTTTAATATGTACTAAAATTGTTGATTCTATTCTTTAATTCGTTTCTTCATTACAATGTAATACTTATATACACGCGAGTCGATACGTATATATACGTATCGACATATATGTATATTTATGTATAGCATACATAAATATATAAATATACGTATCACACGCTAAATAAACTTATAGTATTTACCTATATAACTGTATAACATTAATAGAAGAATTTATATTATGTAATATTGTTTAGTATTTTATGAGTATTTATGTTAGTTAATCATTTGTAGTTATAAAATGTTAAATGTGATAAGTTAAAGTCTATTATGTTTGTTCTCCAAAAGATAGTTATTTAAATTAGGTTTAATAAAAATACTACTTGCATTTCAAGGTTTTTATTATTCTAACTTTTCCTTAATTTTTTGCGTTATGCTATTAATTGTAATAATAAGTTTACGTGTGAACACATTTAGTTTCTTCATATAAGTATCAAGTAGATGCAAAAATGTGATTATGTTACTCTGAATAAGTTCCTTATGTATGCAAAGTTTAGCAGAAAATGGCGAGAAAACGACTCTGTTAGTGTACATTCTACGATTTTTTTTTTACGCATAAGCAAACGACAAAAGTACTTACCAACGGAAGACACCTTATGTTTAACGTACAATTAAACATTGTTAACGTAAAACGATAACGAAGTTAAATTTACTTTTCAATCAATGTGGAACCTTTTTTGATGTAGCTTTGCCGTTGTTGTTCTTTGCACGAAGCTATTTTTCTTTGTTTAACATGTTTACTTTACTTCATTTTTAAAATCTATCATTTCGCCCAGACTTGTCTGAAATATTGTAAAATGTATATTATGTGTGTAGTTTTAGATTATTTTTTGTAATAATCTTACTTGTATAATGTATACAAAGCGAATTTCTTAAGTTGTTTAATTTCATAATAGGTACATTTATTTTAATATATACCCAGATAGCCAAATGTGAAAACTCAATATAAAGCAAATCATTGTATAGATTAAGTTGCTCGCCAATTGCTGTTGTGTTGTTTTTATTTAATGCAACAAAAATGTTTGTCAATTCAGTATCAATATGCTGAGTTTTATTATCAATCAATTGTTGTAGCGCCAATGTTTATGACATGTGAGTCAGCAATATGTGAGCAATATATGAGCAATAATTGTTATTCATAAGTTGAGAAAAATAATAGAAGTTTATTGCCGATGAGTTGTTGGGAACTTGCTGTTATTATATCTTGTAAACTGTTACTGGCAAGAACATACCAAAAAGAGGATACACCCTTTTGTTTTATTGCTGAAATCATATGAGCAATATTTGTGGCAAGTTGCCAACAACTTGCACTCAGTTAGTTATCTGGGTACTTCCCCCCCCCTCATACATAACTACTCAATCTAACAAAGAAGGGCCGAGTACTGGCGGTGTTTTACTTTAAGATTTTGATAGTAAGACAGTTCTGAACAAAATACTGTAGCGTAATAATTTCTGAGTATTAAGTTGAGTTTAAGTGACATAAACACAGGTTAATCGATGATGTAAAAACCATAAATAATAAAGATAACAAGAAGGAAAACCAGAATAAAGTAAGACAAAAATAAACTTTGCCTAAATAAAACGATTACAACAAAATACATATGTACTTCAGAAATGATCTCGTGCCATACGTTAGGACTAGTTAATCAAGTGATAACTCTGTGTGTGTGTGTGTGTGTGTGTGTAGATAGTTTTGGTATCCAGTTTCACTGAAAAAAATAAGACTTTCGAGAAATGCAGTCCAAAGTTACAGTTCCTATAAAAAACGATAAGTTTCTAACAACGACAGGTGTGGTGCAAAATCAAGAGTTCAATATATTGACTCTAAAGTTTTTATGTACAAAACGGTATGCCGAATCGCACGTCGTTCGAAATTGCTGTATTGTAGGCGTAGTCAAATTCCATACAGCAGTCAACCGATATCTTACGCGACGTCCTATCAACGATCTTGTAAACAGGTGTTCGCACTCAGCCGTACGCAAATATCATTTTGCGTATTCAAAGCAGTCCCACGATTTTCAAATTAATGCGACTTATTGCTCGCAAGTATGAGAAATTCGCTCCATGATCGAACGAGTCTCCGATAGCACGCGGATATTTAGTGCGTTCCGATAGTTTTTGTATTTCAAACAAGTAATGTAACATCATTCGCTCTGATACCATGTTGTACTGTTTGTCCTTTTAAGTGATGTTCCTATAGCTTTTTGAAAAAATCAAATCGTGGAGCAAGTGCTCTTCGAAAAGCACGATTAAATTTTTGCCATATTATTAATAGGATTTGGACAAACCGTGAGAGTCAACACTCTCAGATAGACTTTTTTTTCAGCCGTCACAAAATTTAGCAAGGAAACAACCCAGCAAACAATTTCTGACTGCGCAGACCTTGGCAACAGAAACTGTGTGCAGAAACGCTACAGTACGGAAACATGCTTTGGTGCTGCCAAAACTGTTAGCACAGAGAGACAAAAAACGCAACAACTCTGTTAGCACATACATG